ACATACATACAACTATAGAACCCACAAATGAGAGGAAAATACATGATATAATTGTCTTTCTGACTTAATTCACCATGTATGATGACCTCCAGATACACCCATTTTCCTACAAATGATAGGATTTCTTTCTTCCCTACGGCTGAATTCCATCGTATATAAATTCTACATTAACTTTACAGAGTCCTCTCTGTTGACAGACATCTAGGCTGATTCCATACCCAGCTGTTGTAACCTTAGTGCTATAGTAGAGATCCGTATGCGTGTCTCTGCGGTATGTTGACTTGGAGTCTCTCTGGTAAATATCCAGAAATGCTATAGCGGGGTTATATGATAGTTCTATCTTTGTTTACGTTTGCTTGTTTGCTTTGCCTTTTGGCGTAACCTCCATTCTGTTTTCCACAGTGGCTAGGTGAGTCTGCATTCCCACCAGCAGTGTGTAAGTGCTCTCTCTCATCTCCACAACCTCACCAACATTTGTCATCCGTTTTCTTCATGACCACATGTAAAACGGTAAGGAACTAAGGGTTTGATTAGAGAGGAAACTTCTACGGGCTTGAACTTCTGATACCCCCAGTCACACTTAGCATCACTATCCTCACACAAAACAAATGGACCTTTACAGTTGAGGAGGAAAGTGGGTACTCAACAAGCCTTCCCTTTAACTGGAAAATTACATGGCCTGTGAGTGAGAACAAGAAGACACTTCTGGCTCCAACCAACCTCCTAAAGCTCTTTAGGTCACACAACTCAAGCAAGCAAACAGGATTCACATTCAGGGAGCTTGCTCATGGGTAACAGCCGTCAGAACTTGGGGATTCAAAACAAGCTGCTAACACTTAATATCATAATATGACTTTCTTTGTGAAGCAGGATTCCCTCACCAGGACACAACCAAAACAAACCAGGAGGGCAGACTGGCAGTTCATACAGTTTCTTTCCACTCCAGATGCGACGATCTTAGAAGCCATGAGCCAGAATAAAAGCCCTTCCCCTTTCAAGCTACATTAGTCAGGTTCATCACAACAAGAAAAGGAGCCAAGATGACAACGAAGGTTGGAAATGACTTACAACTTATCCTGCTTGTGGGACGGGGAGAAGAGGTCGTAAACCAAGCACACTCCAAACACGGTCACGCCGGTCTCCTTCACCAGCATGGCACAGGTCCCCAGGAACAAACTGAGCAGCAGGAAGAAGGGAGAAGCCGTCGGGGGAAAGCTCTGCTCTGCACAGCCCTGATCCAGACTCCTGCAAAGCAAGTCGGGCATTTCCTTATCAACACATGGAATACCACGGGATGATACCTGTCAGCCATGTATCCAGTGCAGAACAAGGCAGGGAGCATTCGTAGTTCAAGGAGATCCTATGCCTTCTTTGGGCTTTCTTAGGAACACACACAAATGTGCACGGACACACACAAACGGATATATTTAGTAGATAGTAAGATGTTTAAGTGAATATGTTTCAAGCAAATAACACACAAATCCTAACAGGTATGCATTGACTGAGAAGTCAAATTCCCTGGTACAAACCACGAATGTGCAGTTAACAAACAGGATACCAAAGCCCAGCAATGGGAGAATTAGCATGGTGGTGAGGGGCTGTGGGGGGATCTGTCCAGGGGCATTTTACTCTCTGTCTACTGTACTATCTACATATCTATCTTACATATCTATCTATATATCTGTCTTATGTACTGCAGGGCATCTGTCCAGGGGCATTTTACTCTCTGTCTACTGTACTATCTACATATCTATCTTACATATCTATCTACATATCTGTCTTATGTACTGCAGGGCATCTGCCCAGGGGCATTTTACTCTCTGTCTACTAGGTGCCAGTGGCACTTCTCCAGAGGGACAACTGAGGTGACGGACCTCACAAGAGCTCTGGCCTAAGGAGTGCTGTCACACAGTAATGGATTCAAAGTCTGAGCAGAGTACTGGAAGACGGAAGAACTGGGGAAGGCGGGGCTTGCTTGGAGGAAGTGGGCATTGAGATCGTGTCCTTGGGGTGACTACAGGAAGTGGGCATTGAGATCATGTCCTTGGGGTGACCACAGGAAGTGGGCATTGAGAATGTGTCCTTGGGGTGACCACAGGAAGTGGGCATTGAGAAAGTGTGTCCTGAGGGTGACCACAGGAAGTGGGCATTGAGACTGTGTCCTTGGGGTGACTACAGGAAGTGGGCATTTAGAAAGTGTCCTTGGGGTGACCACAGGAAGTGGGCATTGAGAATGTGTCCTGGGGTGACCACAGGAAGTGGGCATTGAGAACGTGTCCTTGGGGTGACCACAGGAAGTGGGCATTGAGAAAGTGTGTCCTGAGGGTGACTATACCGCTCTCTGGACCTGTTATTGCCTTGCTCTATATCCTGTCTGCCATGGGGTTAAGTATTCACTTCTGCCAGCTCTTGCATTCTGTCTGGATACATGGGCCAACCAACCATGACTAAAACTTTCAGCCAAAATAAATAATTCTGCCTTTAGACCATTCTCTCTGATATCTGGACCACAGATACGCAAAAGTAACTCTTCTACAAGAGGAAGAAGGGAAATTGTTGCTAATCAATGCCACTGGTTTAGAACAGTATTCTTAAAAGTGAATCACTGGGCTTTGTAAGTTATAGGTCATCAAATTGATCCAAAGGCCAAGTTTACATATTCCCAGCCAGCATCTCTCTATGAGGTCAGTTGGTATAGTTGACCTGGCATCTTTAGGGAGACATCTCGAGGACTCTGTCAAAACTCACATTTTCCTAACTCATTCTTCTCTGAATGTGAATTTCACAAGTCAGTTAAAAATGACTTTGCTTTGGGGATAATGGCACAATGCAATAGAAAGAGGTTTCCTGTACATTGACCAAAAGATTCTAAAGCGCAAAACTAGTTAAAAAAATAACGCTTCCTGGCCAACCTTGTTGTATGACTGTGAGTGGCTGCTGTAAGAATAACAGAAAAAAACAAAACAGGAACAAAATGAGGATCAATTAAACAAATCAAAGGCAAACAGAACAGAGCACTGCAAACACGACTCTCCAGCTATTCCTGTTCACAGCTAAAGTTTCACTCTCGGCCAGGATCAACAAGCAAAAGAATCCAGAGCTTGGATTCCCGGCGTGGGGACGGTGGTCTTTTAAAGCCGATGTGAGGGGTGGGAGATGGCTCTGTGGGGAAAGTGCCTGCTGCACAAACAGACCTCTGAGTTCGATCTTTAACATACATTAAACAAACAAGACGCAGACAGAAGCCTGTTGTATTCACAGCACTGGGCAGTGGGGACAGGCAGATTCCCATCAGATATGTGAGAGACCCTGCCTCAAAAGATAATGTGGAGAACAATTGAAGAAAACATGTACGTGTGAACATGTACATGCATGTATAAGCACTACATGCATGGATGCACACACACAGGCACACATACACACACACACACACAGGGGATATTAATTGCTTCAAAAGTAGGATTGGAAGATAACAGGTCTGCACTCAGTAAAAAGAGGGTTTCTCTCCCTGACACCCACCGAGCATGTTACAGTCCACACAGCCTCTCTCTGGTCAAGCAGGGCTTTAATGTATATGTGGCAATATGTGACCAAACCACAGAAGGGTTTGCTTGACCCCACTCACCTATGGTAGGAAAGAAAGGCCAGCAGGAACAGCAGACATGCTAACACATCGGCTCTGCCCACGATGCCAGCCACCTAGAAAGTATAACACAACGAAAAATGTAAAACTTGGAACATTATTGTCACGGTATCTTGTGGAAATGCATTTGATTTTGGGAACAGCACAGCAGAAAGTCTATTATTTACAGGTGGACTAAACCTATGGACTAAACCCCTGACCACCTCTGATGACTGTGTATGCTTCATGGTACAGTTACAGAAAGAGAAAAGGGGAAACAAAGGGACTGAGTTTCCATACTTAACCTGCTTCCTAGGTTCTCTTTCACAGAGGATCAATGATCAGCATCAAAGTTTGTTCAGTTATTGACTTATTAAAACACACTTTGAGGGTTGTGGGCTTAGCTCAGGGGTAGAGTGCTTAGCTAGACTGTACAATGCCCTGGGCGTGAGTCTCAGTGACACCCACCATCACACCTGAGTGTCAGGCTCATGTCTGTACTCATCACGGAGAGTGGGGCAGTGAGGGGCCACGGAGAACTTACAGAGTGGAGGGAAACCATACGCAGGGAAATCAATGCTTTTAACGAGAGGGACTCCTGATTGCAAGAGAATTATGTTCGTGTGTGTGCATGCGTATGCGTGCGTGTGCACAGATACATGTCTGTGTGGTTTCATAGGTCTGTCGATGCCCCACAATGCACTGCCCCACCTCAGAAAAACACTGGCTCCCTGGAAAAGAGTCTGATCCTAGGGCTGAGGCTCAAGGATCCTTGTCTCATGTCAGAGTACAAAAGCGCTCAAAAAATGTTAGTCAAGAAGAAAAAAAAAATCCAAAGAAAGGGGGCTCCAACTGAACCAAACTGAAAAAAAAAAACTTGATTAAGACAAGGAGCATAATATATTATAAACCATTGAAGACACGGAAATCCACAGTCCACACGGATGACACGTGGGTGATGAAAGTTACACATGTACAAACACACACAACAAATAAATGAACGAGGGAGACTCTGCCCCACTAAAAAGCCAGTCGGCATGTGTGGCTAGAACAGCCAGTCAGGCTGGAAATAACCCATGGCTTCTAGAAGAGTAAAGAGCAAGAAGCCAGAAACAGCCATCGAGCTGGGCGGGGAACTCAGTCGTAATGCGTTCGTCCAGCAAGCCCAAGGCCCTGGGTTCAATCCTCAGGACCACTAAAATGAACATAAACAAGAGAATAACAGGCATTAACCCTAGGATACATAAGCTATTTGAGATGCAAGGTAGTTAACACAGAACACCACCTCCACCAGGAAATAAAATGAAAATTATCTTCAAAGATAAGACAAAGACTCCATGCAGGCCTATTCTAGCCAAGGATATAGACCTAATCACATGCATGAGAACAATCGATCAGACAAATTCCAGGTGAGACACAATCTATAAGAAGGAGGATGTAAATATATTGTTAAACAAATATAGACTTTAAATTATAGCATATCAGTCTGAATTAGGATCTTATTAGATTTGTGTTACATTGTATTCTATTTATCATGACCCTAATTATGTTACTACTTATAACTAAAAATAAGATAAAATCATAACCTTATAGGTCTAGTGTGTTACATATATGTACATTATATACTGATAATTATATTAAATCTATACATTTAAAATATATTATCTATTTGAATATAATATATTTTTATTTTCAAGGCATTTTAATATACTATGCCTCTAAGAAGTATTTGTATTATGCATTATACAGTATATATTTATATAACATTTATAAGCTGCACTCAAATATATTAAAAACATTTTATATATCTTAATATAAGTTCCAAATCATACTGAAAATTTATGTATTATGTGATAGAAAGACAGTGCTCAGGACTAAAAGAGACGAAACCAAAACCATGAATAATTCTCCCCATGCTAGGAAATACAGAACTGAATTATTGATGTGTGAAGGAGCATGAATTATGCAGCCCTCTCTAACTGCTTCAGAAAACAAACAATATTTTTATATAGAGGGAGGAAGAGAGGAACGACGGCACAAAACCAGCAAAAGTTAAAAATCAGCGAGCCTTGATAAAGAACACAGAACCAGAGTGAGCACTGAACTTGAAGTTCTCTTCAGACGTGCTGTCTGAGAAGCTGGAATGGGCATGTGGGGGCGATGATGGCCCACCTGCACACCCTAGGTTACTGTGCTCTATCAGACAAAACTCACTCTCTCTCTCTCTCTCTCTCTCTCTCTCTCTCTCTCTCTCTCTCTCTCTCTCTCTCTCAGATATAAAACTGTAAAGGAGAAACAGGAACACAGCTTTTAAAGTATTTCTGTTCTAGTTTGCTTTCTATCGCTATGACAAAGGACCATGACCATGACCTGAGGAAGAAAGGGCTTATCTCATCTCATAGCAGAACTCAAGGAAGAACCTGGAGGCAGGAACTGAAACAGAGGCCACGGGGACATGTTCTCTGACTTGCTCTCCGTGACTTGTTCTCACACATATCTGTTTCTTCTACCACCCAGGACCATGTGCCCAAGGACGGCATGGCACCCAGTGCTCTGGGCCCTTAAACATCAACCAGCTATCAGGAAAACGACTGGCCTTCGGGTCAAACTTATGGGGCACTTTGCTAACGAAGTGCCTCTTCTCAGATGACTCAAACCAACCAGTACAGTATCCCCAGGAAGAGCTGGGCCAGGAGTTATCTACACAGGAGATAAGGAAGGCTGATCCCTCAGGCACAGGAGACATTGTCTCCCACGTCAGAGAAGGCCCCAGGTCCATGTGCACGGCAGAATCAGCCAACACGAAGATAAAATGACGTTCAGAGACTTGAACCACTAACATACTGTTATGAGCACTCTGTACTGAAACTTTATCTAAATAATCTTAACAATAAAAGCCAGGAGCCCGCTATTGGGGTAAAACCCAGAAGATCAGAGAACCAGGAGAAGCTGCCAGTTGTCTTGTGTCCTTCCTCAGTTCAAAAGGCTGAGGTCCTGCCTGCACCCCAGCTTATCACTTCCTGCCTCCACCTCCCAAGTGCTGGGACTGAAGGAGCGAGCCCTGAGTACTGAGATTTAAGGTCTATGTCAACACTGCCCAGCTAGCTCCTCCTCTTATCCGCAGGCAAGCTTTGTCAGAACACAAACAAAATATCACACACCGTACAGTCACACGAGAGGCCATGGCATTGGTGCGGAAGAGCCCCTGAATTCTGAAACCCAACCGAGGCCCCAGTTTGCTGTCTTAGGTGTTAACAACACCTGCCGGCTGCTGCCGATGAGGTGACATGTGGAGGTTCTGTATCGTGTAGGTTTGGGGAGCTCTCACCCCCAGTACAGCGCTTCCTGTGTGTGGCTATAGAAACTATCCTACACAGTATTTTCCTTTAGCTTTATTGGGTAGCTTAGCATTACTACCAGTTAAAAATCTAAAATCTATGTGTGTACATATGGATTCACAGCAGGTCACATGCTGGGAAAACTTCAAATCTATCCTATGAGAAACCTGAACGCAGTCCAAGAACCTCAAGGGCAGCACAGAGCTGAAAGCTGTGACCCGACATGGCTGCTTGGACCACACGCAGTGTTCATTAACTGGTTAATCTGTAAGGAGCCGGAGAGCAACATCCCAGAAGCCACACGACCCCGGTGAGGCAGGCAGTGACAGTGTGCACAAAGGTATAAGGCCCCAGCTCAGATTCAGGCGGACCAACGACTGTGCACATCACAGTTAAGGCTCAGATGGGCTCAGTGGCCGCTGGCTACTTGGAACATTTCACTCAGCATGAACTCAAGAGAAGGTTGAGAAGACAAGTCCACCTCACCTCCTGTGAAGCCCTGGGGCAAAGCTCAGAGGGACACTCATCCCAGAACAAATGATGTGGCCAACAGCAAGGCTTGCAAGTTGATTCTGAGTATAGCAAAGTGAAGTACAGCAGTCACGAGTATGCAAACATAAAAACTGGTTCCTGCAAACTGTCTTGAAGCCCTGATCCTCTCTCTGAGCCAATCTGGAAGGAACAGAAGACTATGCCAGCTGAGTGAACCAAGACATAAAGAATATACTTGCTGGGTATGATGACTCATGCCTGTCATCCCAGCACTGGAAGGCTCAGGCAGGAAGATCACAAGTTCAAGACCAGCCTGGGCTACCTAGCAAGCCCTCACCTCAACAATAACACCATAATGTAGAATCCCATTAGCAGAGGTTCAGAGAGGGTGCTCACAGGCTCCTTGTGAGGCCAAACCACAGTGCACACATTAAATGCCTGCTCTGTACCCTGCTGAGCTGAGGTCTTGGGCAAAGTGTCTTATATCTAAAACAAAGTAAGCATCCCTATCAAATGCTTGGCTCCATTGATGTGAGACAATTCTGTATTCTGTCAATTATGTTTTAAATAAATGCTGATTGGCCAGTAGTCAGGCAGGAAGTATAGGTGGGACAACCAGACAGGAAGTAGAGGAGGGTCAATGAGAACAGGAGAATTCTGGGAAGAAGGAAGCCCATTCCTCTGTAGTCCTGACCAGCCACAGAAGAAGCAAGATGTGACTGCCTCGCTGAAAAAGGTACTGAGCCATGTGGCTAACATAGACAAGAATAATGAGCTAATATAAGTTGTAAGAGTTAATAAGAAGCCTGAGCTAATGGGCCAATCAGTTTATAGTTAATGTAGATCTCTGTGTGATTTCTTTGGGATTTAACTATTGTGGGAACTGGACAGGGCAGAAAACTCAGTCAACAGGTACCATAAGCCAAACAGAGAGGCATTGCCTGCCTCCAGGACTCTGACATCTGCTAGAGTCAGGAGAAAGTATTAAGTAGGACACTGCTAAGTTTCAAGCCTGAACAAAGGACTGAGGTGCCTAGTTAACATATCCAAGCAGACCTGGCTGCAAGGTCCTCCCAGGATCCCTCAGTTCCTTTGTTACAGCCTATGGCTGTATATACCCTGCCCTCTCCCCAAACTCTTCTCCAGCCCAGGGAGTAGGCAGCCCTTCCCCCAGAGGTTCTTCCCTGTATAGTGCAGACATTTTGGTTACCATTCACCTCTTGTACCTTCGGTCTCTATCTGCTACA